GAAGCATCTCAGAAAGCTTCTCTGCTCTGCTGTAAGAAACACGTGTTTCTTGGTTTGCAGTTAGGTGGTGTGCACACAAGGTGCCTGGGAGATGGTCAGAGCTTGATATTCCTGAGGGGCTCAGGTGGGTGACTTGAGGCAGGAGGGGAGAGGTATCGGGATTTCTGCCTTTGTCACCCTCAGGCAGCCTATCACCAAAGAGAGAAGGTTTTCCTGAGGGGTGTATCATAATGTGAGAACTAGGTTGGATCTTAATGCTTGCAATATTTTATTTGCCCATAACATTTAAATACATCTTCAGGAAGCCATTTGCCTTATAGCTATCTTCCATTGTTAGGAAAATTGACTAAAACATGTTGTTATCTGTCCTATGTATTACGGTAGTATTACCTTGTAAGGTAGATGCTTGGCTGGTATAAATTGTCACAGCTTTGTCTGGAGCTGTGACCATTTACACCAGCTGAGAATTTGCTCCCTGTGTCCTATGGCACTTTATTACTGACCCATTGCTGATGGGTTAAATCTTAATTACTTGCGTAATGTCATATATAAATATAAATCTAAATATATATATATGTATATATATGTATATATATATATATATTTACAGGCATTCGATGGGGTACTGCTGCCTATGGATAAAGATTTGTACCCTAACCAGATGATTACAACTTTGTCATTAGCTGTATGTGCAAAAGATATATTGTTACAAAGAATGCATCATATGTATCTCATGTAGGACAGATTATGTTGCTGTATGTTGTTAATTTCAGAAATCATTATTCTTGAGGCCCTACCTCAAATTTTGTATTTATGTGTACAAATGCAATTTATTGTATTATATACTTGCCTAATATATTTGAATGTGATAAATTAAAATTATTCAACAATGTATGGGCTCTAAAGGCTCTAAATAAATATCTAGTGTTTTAAACAGAAATTACATAAATTTCCCTGGTGAATGAAATGTCTCTTTTTCCACCACCTCCTTCTCCACCCAACACACACCACAAGCATCATTCTTACTTAACACACAGACTTAAGGTGTCTTCAGAATTGATCCATTTGATTGTTAGAAACATTGAGCAGCAACTGGAAACAGCCCTTCTGGGAAACGGGGATGTTGCACAGCTGCAGAAACAAGTATCATTTAAATGGCTGGTTTCTTAACTATTGAGTGTTCTGTACTTTGTGGAACAATTGATTGCTTAACAGAGGACCAACTGGATTTGTTTAAATCCTTCTTATCCTATCAATTCAATTATCCCAAAGGTTATCAAACTGTTAAAAACAAGAGAGGTTCATATCTGCTGGAGATGAAAATGGGAGGCTGAAAGGAGGAGCAAGTGAAGAAGGAAAGTGTAAGGAACAGTTTCTGGTGTTATTGTACCTTGTGTTTGAATTCCTGCCATGTGGTGAGGCCATGTGCCACAGCGCTGATTTGGAAAGCAGGTTCTTCCCTTCCCAGCCTGCTATGGGAATGGTACTGGTCCAGCCTGTTTCACTGTTGGCAGACACGAGCTTTTGAGAAGCTTTCCCCAAATACAGTAGCTGAAGCACGATGTCCCGATGTGTCACCAAAAGTGGTATCACAAGAGATACTGGTGCCAAGAGCACGATTTCTTCCAGGAGAGGGTCTGAACCTGAAGACTGCTCTGTAGCTGAGTGGCAGGATGTTTCACTTTGTTCTGTCTTTAAGCTCCTGTTACTCTGAAATGTGCATGTGTGGGTAAAGGAGGTGGTAGGACGTGGTGATGGAAGACTGAAGTCATTCTTTGCACTTTACCTGTGCAGGCAGATTTCATTTTGAGGAGGTCTGAAGTTACCAGAGAGCATCATGAGAGTCCTGAGAGAAAGCTGAGTGTCATTAATGCCCTTTTCATGAGGAAAAACTGAGGCATATGGAGTGTGTCACACTCCCAGAGTCACCCAGTGTAAGTCAATGATAGAACACATTGACTTTGGGAGTAAGAGACAGTAATTTGCTGTCGCCATTAGGCATCCACTCCATCAAATCTTAAAATTCATGGGGACAGATAAAAATCCATGTCCTTTTAACTTGGTTGTATGGACTGACCATGGCCACAATTTAAACCAATGCGTGTTACTTAACAGCTGGAAGATAGGCACATGTTCTACTACACTGCTTACAGATGTGTTTAGTCTGAAATAATTTTACTCTTTTGGTGCTGAAATTCCTATGATCAACATCTTATACCAAATGGATTCATCAGTTGTAAAGTTTAGTTTAGATTCTCAGTCTTCAAACATTAGCTGTGTGTTTGGGAATTAAAAATAATAATAAAAAAGAGCAGTAAGTATTGCTCCGTGACTGCGTACAGAAGTAGACAAAGTATTTTTCTTCTTAAGGTTTCACTCTAATGGATTTGTTAGTTAGTTATGCAATTGTAAACCCTAAAGCGGGTACTTTTAGCCTGCTGAACAGTTTATATAGTCCTTCACAAGTATTTGTCAGTGGTTAAGGCAAACACGGCATACAGTAATCCCCCCTTCCTTTCCACCTATTCGTCACAGTGCTCAGGTGTAAGTGCTGCTGCTAATTCTTGCCCTCTACTGGCGGCCAAGCAAACTTTGCTCCTATGGATCGCGAGTGTCCCCTTGGAGCCAGGCTTTCCAGGACGCGAGCCTAATTTGTGAATCGAGGAGGTTTTCTACCCCACGAGCTACAAGTGCTGGGCTCCCCTCCCCTCTCCTCTCCTCTTTTCCCCAGGTGGAAGCACTGCCGTTTCCCAGGATTTGCACACACCCTTGCAGTTGCAGTGTTTTAAATTGCATTTTAGCTGTGGCATGCAGACAGCCCTACAACTATTCAGAGAGACATTGGGCCTACTCAAAAATCCTTCCTCAGACTACAAAATGTCATAAGCTTTGTGGCTGGCAGGACTAACAGTTTAACACCACACAGTTAGCAACTCCACAATAATTTAGGTCAAAACCAAGATGAATTCAATGACCAATGGAGAGTGTAAGAACAATTTTCACAGGAATATTATCTGAGCTGAAATCCAGCTCAGTTTCCAGGACAAATGCTTCACTCTTACAGAAGTACCTTCAGATTTTTTTTTTTAAATTGCTATGAATACTCAGGAACACAGTTTTAATTCTTACTTGGAAGTCAGGCTTTTCAGCTATTTATACTTCCCATAAGAACATATCAGAAAGTCATATTTTCTGGTGATAAAGGGAGATGTTTTGTTGCCATTAGGGGAGGTGTAAGAATAGTGTTGGCTGCAAGAAGGGAATATTTTGTTTTCCATCCATTTGTCCTGTCCTTTCTCCATATGAACAGCTGAACATATGTGGTCTCCAAATGCTCTTCAAATGTGTGATCATTTGGGCATTGAGCTGGACTATAGGAAGAGCTACAACTGTGGGACCAGCTTTTTTCAGAGCACTTTTTACCAAGCTGCTTGTGTAATGGTTAGGATATTCTTTTCCATGAGATTGCTGCAGATGTGTTTGAAACTGTGCTTTACACGGCACAAATTTTTGCATGTACCCACAATAATTTTTTTATAAACAGCATTTAATCCAGGCTTAGGTTAAACAGATCACTTTGAGAATCTATGACCAGTTTAAATTATATATCCACTTCAGACACTGTATCAAGTGGAAAATTGAGAACTTGAATTAGATTCAATTTGGTGTCTAGATAGAAACTGGTTTTACTACCAGATAAGCACAAACAGATCTAAACTAACAGGAATTGGATATACAGAACTGTTCCCCAAAAAGTAATCTCTAAAATCAGATAGTAACTGCTATGCAGAACCCTGATGTCACCAGGAGGAAATAGAGGGGTGTGTCTTCACATGCTGAGGTACCATTGCCTCTTTCTCCTGTTGCTATGGTTATATAGAATATCTGTGCATAGCCACACACTCTTGTGTACCATGTGTGCACCCCTCCTCTCACCCAGTGCCTGATAGCGGGGCACCCTAGCCAAAGGGAAGAACCTGCAAGTTACACTTGAAGAAAAAAAAGTTGTTTCGACACACTGGAGATAAATTACTGGAGTGCTTTCTGAGTGGCCACCCCAGAGGTTTCCTGGAGTGCATTACCTTGCTGGCAGCCAGGAACAGCTGTTTCCAGATATCTCACTAATTAAGTAATTAGGCAACAAGTCAGACTGTTTGCTCTTGCCAATGTAAATGTGTATGAATCCAACTGCACCCCTAAGATGGGCATGATTTTTATGGTGCCATCCTAACTTTGTGCAAATGTACAGCTTATTATTTAACATTGAAGATGGCTGGAATTTGCACTGTGCAGCACAAAATCACGATGAGGGAAAGCAGAAGAGAGGATGATCCTGGGGCTTGCAACGGTAGATCAACTGGAAATCTCAGTCTGCTCTTCAGCAGGGTGGGAACATCATCTGGGGACAGTAAACTGTCCTTCAAAATGAAATCAGTGTTCTGCAGGGAAGAGTATTGCATATAACAGAGGCATGTGGTAGTGTGCTCCTTGCCAAGCACCGAGCAAAATTAAAAGGCTGGAGCGAAGGAATACTTGAAGACAGGTTTTAGAACAGCTATCAGAGCAGTTTCTCATATGGCTCACGAGTATCTTTAAACACTTTACCTCCCTTTTACACGTTAGAGGCTTAAAGTACAGTTAAGGGAGTTGAGCAAGGACATGCAAGAAGCCGAGGAACGGCGCAGGTTTCTGTATCATACCTCAGAACTTATTTTTGTTTATTCATACGTGGCATGAATTATTACTAAGAGTAAATAGTTAATGAGGGTTGATTCCTAGGCACGGGAAGAAGGAGAAGGTGCCCCGGAGCCGCCGCGCACCTCGCAGCCGCCCGGACGTGCCGCGGCGGTCGGCGGGCCCCTCTCGCTCGGGGGGTTCCCGTTGCGGGAGCGGGGCCGGTGCGCAGTGCGGGGCTCCCCGCCCGAGGCCGCTCCGCTCGGAGCGCGGCCGTGGCCGGGCCCGCCTCCTGCCGGAGCCGCTCCGCGCGTCGGAGGCTGCGCTCGGCTCCGCAGCAGCTGCCGGCGGCCGGGGAGGGAGCCAGCGGGCGCCGCCGCCCGCGCCGCGCCGATGGGTCTCCTCCTGCTCCTCTGGGCGTGTGCAGCCGCCGCCGGGGCAGGTGAGGGGCCGGGCCGGGGCCGCGGGGCCGGGGTCCGTGGCGGGGCCGGGGTCCTCTCCCGCCTCCTCTCCGGGGAGCGAGGGCCGGGGCCACCGCCCGGGGCGCGCCGGCGGCGGGCGGAAACTTTGCTGGGAGGCGGTGGCAGCGGGAGCCGCCCCGGCCGTGCGGCCGCCGGCGGGGCCGGGCATCCTCCGCTGCGCCGAGCGGGGCGGGCGCGGGGCTCCGCCGGGCTCGTCCCCGGCGGGGCCCCGCAGGGCCGGGGGGCGGTGCGCGGGGGCGGCCGGGGCCGTGTCTGGGCGGTGCGCGGTGCTGCCCGCGGTACCGGGCGGAGGGCGCGGCGGTGTGGGCGTGATGCGGCCGCAAGCGCGTTATTCCAGCTGGTGCCGTGCCGGCTCCTCTATCTCTCCAGCCTTGCGCGACCCAAGTACCGCTTCTTGTTCCTTGCGAAGGCTTTGTTCCTGGTCCCCGAGTAGCGCTCCTCCTCGGTTGGAGCTGCTGAGGGACAACGTTTCTCCGTGGTGCTTGTAGGTATTGTCAGGGAAACCACCCGGCACAATTATCAGAAATGCAAAGGAATTAATGTTTTATAATTAAATTCTTATAGTAATTATAGCCTCATCAAAATCTACAGAGACATGCGGCATAAAAATAGTTGGAAGAAAATACCGCCTGTCCCTTTCGTAGTGATGTTACCCCTCATAGTGCATACAGAGATTTTAAATGGTCAACAGGACCCAAAACTCTACTACTCGGAAAGTTCTCTGTGTGCAACAATTGCCATCGAAGTTGTGAGAGAGAGTACAGTGCCTCTTCTAGAGCCTCTTCTTTGCCATTTTATTGGTTTCCCGTGGGTACGTGCAAATGGCTTGTGTTGAGTGTACTTTAAGTAAAAGTTTCTCCATCCCCAAACAGCACGTTACACATGTTGAGGAGATGATAAATGTGCTGCATGTGTTGCATGGCTGCACATTAGCTAGATGGAGCATGGCATGATTGCTGGTGCTTGGGTGTAAGTGATAAAGGCAGAAGCAGAGAATAAAAGCTGTCAGAGCTGTAAGGCAGAATTAATTTCTTTTAGGGATTTCCTAGTGACATCATTCATAATTATATGGTTTAATCCTCTAATCTACTGTAGTGCCTTCAGTTCATATTGGGCCGAATCCACCAAGTCCTGAGATGATTTCTACTCCCGCCCACCTGCCTGAAGCATTTGGACTGTTGCTTGTGTAAGCCACTGATTTAAGGGGAATGGCCCAATTACTTTAAATAGGAATTGAAAGCAACATCATCCAGATTTGGGCCCAGGCATTGCACAGCTCTCCAGTGAGAGCAGTCTGCTTGATGCTTAATTTTTACTTCAGAAAGAGATGGCATTTCCAGCTACTTGTTCCACTGGAGAGAGACAGCATAAAATACTAGATGCAAGTGTGGTTGATATGCATGTGGTATCTTTCTGATAGACTGAGGGAGACCACAGGGGAAAAGGAGACCTGGTTATCATACTGAAGCTGCTGATTTGTTGTTTATTAATTATTAACTCGGCATTTGAGTGCCTGCTGCCGTTTGAAGACGCAGCTCAGGAAAATGACTAGGTATTTAAAGCAGTGTAGGCTCTTGCTAAATAGTTACTGTGACATAAGAAACAGTCTCTGTTTTCAAAAATATTTTAAAAGCTGGAAGAGAACACACTGAAGCTGTCACACAAGATCCTTTGTTGGCATAAATCGAAGCCTGTGGAGCTACAGTGATGTATACTTGTTGAGCCTTGGGTATTCGGGGTGGAATAAACAGCTTTAATAGAGCAGTGGAGCTACTGTGATTTATGGGAGTGCCTATACTTGCTCGCTGTGGTTTCTGTCCCCACCCTGTGTCTGATGGCTGTGACAGAGCTTTCACTTACTTTAATGGGTTTGAGACTTGTCTTACTGAAAACAGTTTGTCCTTTCTGTTGAGCAAGTTTTAGTACCTACTTGACCTCCCTTCATATTAGTAGATTATTGCTGATCTGAATAGATGTAACCCCTTTCTAATGAGGGACAGCATACTCTGTTTCTCACAGGGATGGCAAACACTTGTCTTTGCTGATAGGTAAGTTCACGCAATTTACATTTTACTGCTTTTCTGCAGAATGAAAACCTTAGAAGAATATCAAGTCCTTTCTTGTTTCCCCTCATTCCAGGAGGGGAAGGTGTTTTTAGTCCACCAGTGTGGACAGTGTCAGTTGTAGTCATTCAGTGCCTGAGTGCCTACAATGGAAGTCAAAGATAGTACAAAAAGCCTGATGATGTTGCTGATTATTTGGGAAGTTTTTACCTTTGGAGAAGTTTATCTGGGTTTTCTAATATTCTCCCCATTCCAATTCTCTACAAAAAGGTGTTTATCCCCATATCCTTGTGTAAGCACTGTGTGTGTGGATGTGTCAGCACTCTTGGAACTTCAGTACCATCAGATACCTCTAGATCTTAATTTTCTTTGTAGAGTAAGGTTGCTAGAGACCTCCTAAAACTGTATTTTCTGTATTTTTTAATGCTTTGTTCCTTGTGGAGTAGAATCCTCTCTGTTTGCACAACGTGTTATTTTATCAACTTTTCATCCTTGAGGAAAAGAGAAAGTTCTGGAGTACGGAAGATTTATAAGTAGTATATGTAACATCTTGTTCATTCTGTACACCTCAGTAATTTCTCAGAGCCTTTCAAAGAATCAAACTAGAGTACTTGCTGCTTAAATGATCCAGAAGTATAGTCCTGGAATAACAAATCAATCAGTTTAGACCTGAATGTGAAGTCTACTTAGTGGAAATCAATCTGGATGTGCTTTACAGGTAATGTCCTTGCTCCATGGAAGTCAATGGGACTTTTAGCATTGACTTCAGCTGTGTCAGGATTTCATTCTTGGAGCCTGTTACTAATGACGTTAGTGAAAAATGTAATTAGGAAAGTGTTTGCATTCCACACAAGATATTTGACCTGTGTCTCAGGCACAGATCTCATGCCACTCTTACTGCTGTGTTGAGAGAAACACTGAGGTCAGGCTGCTCTCTTCCCATCCCTAGAAAAAATGAGGCATGTTTGGTGTGCTAACCATCAAGTTGCCCTGCGCTCTTCAACATAGCATTTTCAAACTTTTGGAGTCTGTGTCTTTATGTCAATCCCATCAGGTCCCTGCTAGATTGAGGAGTACCCAGGCTTTTCCTGATCATAAGCCTTTTATGAATTTCAGGTTTAGATTTCTGCTTTTCCAGTAGGTGCTCCCACAACCCAGAGGTGCTGCAGCTGGTTGGAGTGAGTGAACGTGTGCTCTTTGGAGGTGGACTTGGGCAGCAACAGAGGTGTGCTTCAGAAGTAGTATCAAATAGTGAGTCACCCAAGGCTCTTAGTCTACAGGAAGGGTGTTCTTTGCCCAGCTACCATATCTGCTCCACGCTCCTTTGGTCCAGTTGGGAAAATGGATTACGTTTAGGTGATGAGCTGTGGGCCTGGTCAGTTGGTCACAGCTAGGTAGGAAATGTGAGAGGAGTTTTCAGTCCTTACGTCTCCCTGGAAGTAGTGTGGCCAAGAGATGAATGCTGCAAATCTCTCTCATGGTTTTGCATAGGTGGTTATGCTCTTCTTGATTTATTACTCTTTAACCTTTTGAAGGTGCTGGACAAATGTATCAGTTCTAGAATGTTTTAACATGTGTGCAGTAAAATCTCTGGGAAGGAAACAGGTGATTGAAAGACTTGGAGTGGAATGTCTTCTCCTTCCTGCATCACAGTTACTGTCTTACAAGTAATTACTATGTACAGTGTGTGTGTGAGTGGGAAGGTACTAGAAATGTCTGTGCTGGATATTCTTCTCTATTCTTTCCATTAACTGATTTGAAATAAAAATTGATCTAACTCTCTCTGCCTCCAACAGCTGTAGGATTTGGAATGGATCCTGACTTACAAATTGATATAATCACAGAGCTGGATCTGGTGAATACAACCCTGGGGGTAACACAAGTGTCAGGACTACACAATGCCAGCAAAGCATTCTTATTCCAAGGTGAGAGAAACATCCTCAGTTTTCTTATCTTGCTTCTGTGTGCATGAGCTCAGAAGAGCTTTGATGCTTAAGTAGTTCCCTGTAACGGTGGTCTTACTTAATTATTGCTTTCTTTTATTTCTGTTTTTTGGAATTAGTTCTTGAAATACAGATGCTATTTTTTGTGTGTGTGCTGTCAGATAGTTGCAAGGGAATTTTGGGTATGTTTTCAATACTCCCTGATATTTCTCACTAAATATGTCAGAGTGGTTCCAATGGATGAACTTGTGGGTTTTTTTCTCTGTGATCATATACATGCAGAGAGACACACAGCTAAAGCTGTGTAGCTATGAGGAGGCATTTTATGTGTTAACACTGACTGGTAATGTAGCAAGTCTTTCATCAACTTTGTGAAAACTGCTAAAGGGGCCAAATAGAATGCTTTTGTATTTAAGTGTCCATACTGGATATCAAGGGCAAGATAAGTCACTTTGTGGTTTTTTCCTCCTTCATTAAGTATTCTAACATAAAGTTTGTGAAGTGTTTGAAAATTATGTTGGGTTTTTTTTTTTTTTTTTTTTTTTTGTATTTCTTCTGAGTGAAATTCTGGATGTAGTTTTACAAAGTATTTAAATAAGGTCTAGATTAAGGGACAGTGTCCCATGGGGTGGAAGCACTGAATTGCAACAATATGCTAATTAGGCAGGAAAGACATTTATATTACTTGAGATTAACATGTGAATTAAAGCTCTGTTGGAAACATTTTTATTGTGGAGGCTTCCTATGTTTTTCCTTTACTGTGTTTTAGTCAATGTTGAAGACTCTTTTTCTTATCTGTCTTCTGTAGCTGTTTTTAGAGGCAAATGATTATGATCTCATAATCCCTTCAGTTCTGGATCTGCAGTGCTAGCTGACTTTACTGTAAATAATAAGGGAAGTGGGTCTGCAGTCTTAGTTCATTCTTTATCTGGCCAAGGCCAGTTTAGGAGTCAGAGCAGAGCTGCTTCTGGAGACCACCTCAGGATTTGTTTTCTATTTTTTATGATACAACAAGTAGCTTAATTTTCACTGATTCCCAAATTAGTGTCCAGAAGAGCCGCATTGATTCTTTTCATTTAACTGTATCAATTTTTTCTCTCTTGATACCCTGAGTCCAGGTTTGTGTATTATGGATAAATAATATTATAGTCATTCCTCTAAGGAGTGCAGTGGCCTAAATATGTGAATAATTCCAATTGCTATTCCATGCAGTTAATTGCAACTACACAGATGAGTTGTGGTGAGTTTTCACAGACTGGTGGTCAGGGTTGTAGGGAAGAGGTCTGAGATGTGTTTGTCGGGACTTGGATTGAGACCACTGATACTGAAAATAGCTTTGAAAGGTTAATGGTGAAGTTGTTTTGGATATTCTGTTCTTTTCTCCTTGGAGTCATCCATCTGTAGTTTGGGAACTTAGGACTGGTGTAAGAAAGGTGGAACTTACAAAATCCATAAGAATGGATAAGCTGAAGGATAGATGCTCATGGGAAGCAATAAACAAACATTCACAGTATGAAATGAATAAATAATATGAAGTCTGTAGTTAGGTACATAAAGCTTTTTTTAATTCCCAGAATAGAAACGCTTTTTGCTAATGCACACAGGAATTGCCCTCTTCTTGAGGATTGCCTCTAGTGTAAAACTTCCTGGAAGGTGGCTCAGGAAAATTACTCTCTTTAGTAAAGCTCATCAGCCCTTGGGTTGTGAGAAGACCGAAGGCCTTTGCTGTCAGCTGGGATGGAAGTCTGAAGCTGCCCTGGTGTCTTCTTCCCTTCTCGTTCCTATTTGTTACTTGTTAAATGTCAGCAGTCATGTCGTGTTGGCAGCTGTATGGATTTTACTAGCAGAGGTGACTTACTTTACAGCTACAGTCTGGCTGTGGGCCATGTCCTTTGGCTGGAACCAGGAGATACTCAATTTTGATTTTCATCTTGCCATACAGTAAAACCAGTATAGAACTTGGAGTGTGTGAGAGACTGCTATGTCTAAGGTAGAAGTAATACTTTCTTCCACAGAGATCCACAAAAAAACCCCCAAAACCCTGGTCCAAAATGACATTCCCAGAGGAGAGAAGAACCTGGAAGTTAGTGCTAAGTTTCAAAATGACTGTCTCCTCTTGGAGCAGCTATTCCAGGCTGGAAGGTGGTGTTGTCCTTTAAGCACAGCTCTGCTCTGGTCAGTCCTTGCTACGTGTGAGCAGGTCAGGTGTGCTGTGCCTTGCTGTGCCCCACTGCTCCAACGTGGCCTTGGAGCCTCTGGGCAGGCAGGAGCTGCTTCCCCTGGCACGATGATTGCTGCATGCAGAGCAAGAAGACCTCTTCCTTAGCAGGCTTTCACTGCTGAGGATTCCCTAGCTTATGAAAAAAGAGTTTGTATGTTCTTTGGCATGTGGTTTTCACAGTGACAGTTTTACCTGCCACCTTTGACAGCGTGTATCGGGGCTCTGAGCTTACATAAATGCTCCCTGTGAAACATTTTCTGTCTTGAGATGAATTTTCTAAAATGGCTGTACTGGAGCTGTTCAAGCTGAGAGTGTTCCTTTGTGTGTTCCAGCAAGTTTACATCTTGGGGGTAGAGAAATGGTAATTTTTCCTCAGTTTGGATAGTTTTGTGTCCAGGGTAAGTCCAGGAAAATATAGAATGTTCTCCTAAGCAACTCTTTTTCTCTGAATTAAACTATTTGAAAGAGAAAGCCCTATAAGTTTTGAGCTTTCCTTCCTTCCTTCCTTCCTCTTTTTTTCTGGACCTTTAGAGGTAAAAAGAGGAAATTAATAAGGGGGGGTGATATGAAGATATGCACAAAAAAAGGGGAAAATATTATTTTTAATTCAACTTTTCATCAGTGATGGTTCTCTTACAGTAAATAACATGCTGTTTGTTACTGAATTTTTGGGCAGTTGTGTCATGATTTAATTTATCCTACAGAAAATGCAGAAAGACTTTTCTTTAAAGAGTTTGTGATTTCAGTCTGAGACCATCCCAGTAAAGCTGGTGGAGTATTCTGATTTTTTAATAATATTGGTATGAACAGCCAAACCTCAGATTTCTATGAAACAGATTTATAGGCTAAGAAACAAATTCAGCTCTGTTGCAAATTGTGTGACAGCGTGGTAGAACCATAGTGGCAATTGAGAGATGTTGGTTGCCTTTGGGCAAGCAAATCTGTTCCTAATTCAGAAAAGCACAGAAACCTATAATTAAGTGTAGTCATCTGAGTTGTCCTGCTGGGCATAGACTTTGATTCTCAGAGTATTTCAGCTGGATTTTTGAATGATCAGCTCATTATTTGATTTTTTCAGTTCCATTCTCTGTGAAAGGGGGATGAGGAAATAAAAAACCAGAGCAGTGTAAGTGCTTACAATGTGCATTAGAGGAAATGTAGATATAGAACTCATAATTGCAATTCTGCAAACAGTCTGATTCTCAAGATCCATAACATCCTGATGCCTTAATTATTTATGTTTTATTAACTTTTACATACAAACATGGGAGAAGAGGTCTTTGTGGGCAGATGGTTTGCTCTAGCATGAAAGGGTAAAGGAGGGTGAGTGGAGATTCTTGATGGGTGCTTTTGGGGAATGGGGCACCCAAGACCCTGATATGTGACACACATCTTCTCACCTCCAGCCAGGAGGCCAGTGAATTCAAGGAAACGGTTGTGGGGGTGGGTAGAAAATCTGCCTCAAAGAAATATACTGAAAGTACGAACTTTTCACCTAATGATAACATGCCTTACAATAACATCTTACAAACATCAAATGTAAGACATCTACAAATGGTATCTTACAGGCATGAAAAATGAACAGGATCAGAACAGGATTATACTGTAAACTCTACAATTAATGTAAAAAATGCATTAATGTAAAAAATAAATATTGTAAATAGTACATTAAGAAACCCTGAGCTATGGCTCCTGTGCTGGGGCTCAGTCCTGTTCTCTGTGTCAGATAGCAGGGAAGTAGGGCTTGTCCTGACTTTGACTTACCAGGATCTTGAATTCAGTGGCAGAGGAAAGCTCTGATGATAAATAAGGCAAAAGGATGTTAACTGGTCATCTGCTTTCTAGGTAGAGTGAGACCAGTTTTTAGCCTAGCTGTTAAATTATGTGATTTCTTTAACCAGTGTAACTTTTGTTCCATGCTCAGTTCATGTTGTGGAAGTAAAATTTTATTCCTTTTACAACCTGTCGGCTATGCCTATTTCTTTTTAATTCTTCCTGCAACATCTTTTTGGAGTTTACAGAGACTTAAAGCCTTTACTTACAAAACAGTTCCCTCCCACCCCTGAAAATTTATTAAGGCTTTGCTGTTTCCTTTACTTGCAATCTGGCACTATTTTTCAACTTAGCCTTTAAATTAGGAATGGTCTTTTTACTACGTGTACTATGTTTAGCACTCAGCAAAAGAAACCACCAAGTGCTGTTCAAAGTCTGGAGATCTGCAGTGCTTTGTTGACCGTTTCTTGACTTGTATTAAAGAGCCATTGGCTTTAAGAGAAGCACCTGGCCTGGAGCTCCTGCAGCACACGAGTTCAGTCATGCTCCTTATTCCCACTTTGTATTGGAGACTGCTGAGCTCTTTTCTGTACAGACGTGGCTCCAACAGGAAAGGTGAAAGCATAGAGAAAGGCGATGTTTTTGTGAGAAAAAGAGTGAAACTTGTTGAGTTCCTGAAACAAAAGGCTTCAGGCCAAAAGAGAGATCAAACCTGTGCTTCCAAGGTGGGTAGAGGTGCTTCCCAGAAGACTCTTGAGCTTCCAGAAGTGCAGTCCTCTCTGTTGGTGTTTTCCTTCAGTGTTTTACAAATCATGGCTTTTTTTAGACTAATTCTTTGCTTAGAGAGTAGAAGTATTTCCAGATTCTGCTCCACGAATCTCAGTCCATGAAGTAGGTTTTGCAGTGCCAAACTGAAAGAGATTTGAATGCTGGCCAACTTTGCCATGTTTTGGGGCCGGTGGATAAAAACAACTGCCTAAATCGATCT